TCCCTTAACATTAAGTCTTGTTTAAATTTTTTATTTATTGACATTTTAACGGTTTTCATCAGAGGTGATGAAGTAATAAGGCATCTCTATCTAAATGTGAGAAAATGGACTGTTATACATCTGTGGACTGATGGCAGTGAGAGAAGACGGTTCTCTTTGGCTGACTCAGAGCAAAAAGAGACCCTGTTTTAAAACTGCTAAACTTAAGCATGCATCAAATAACATTTCATTATGACAGCACTTAAACGGCTCATAAAACCTGCAAAGCTGGCATCCCACAGACAGTTGTCCAGTAAAGAACAATAAAAAACAAAGAAATAACCTTTCAGTTGCGGTTTTTTAAGCATCTGAAATCTACTACTATTTGTCTTTATTTTTAGAAAGCACAGCTATACAGTTAAAATTAGTTTTAGTTGTGCAAAAATATATTCATACCTCACAAACCTTCTAGGGATTTCTGCCTGAAGAACAGCTGCAAACCTCAATTAAACTACAGTACATGTCATTAATCAATAACTACTGGCTCAATAAGTCTTGATCAGAATGTTGTAGGTATTGTCAATTCTAATATAAAAAGCAATAATTCATGTTAACAGAAAAGCTTCTTCCTTTTTTTGTGCTTGTGGTGCTGAAATATAACAATTCTTGGGGGTTTTTCTGTATTCCAAAATAAAATTACTGATTTGTTTAAATATCATTAATGTTTATAAAGTAGGTATTTATGTCTTTAAACTTTTTATGATCACTTAAAAATAAAAAAATTGACATATCAGTTTTTTAAGGTTTTATCATTGTACTTCCTTATCCAGAGGACGAGAGACAGGGTAGATACAAGTCAGTATTGTGCGTCTCTGTGTTTGCAGTGATTTGAATCCAGGACCCTCTCACTGTAGGGGAACAGGACTGAACAGGTTGATTTATTTCAAGTTAACATTGGATTTAATAATTAGAATCTAATTTCAACGATCGTTTAGTTTTTCATGCTGGGGCAACTAATCTTATTTAAAACTATAACAAATAAATAATGCTTAACTGTGCATAAATGAACTGCTCTTCAGTATAATAATGTTATGATGTAAGACTCTTTAGCAGATTGGGAGGGCAAATTAAGAAAATAAAGGACTCTGCATGTGCACATCACCGTAGGTGTGTGTAGGCGTTGATGCTGATGAATGAAAGAGCAAGGCTGCATTGAAAGGCAAGAAGCCATGGCCTGCAGTGTTGGCCAAGAAAGAGCTCTACACTGTCACTAGTAATTAGTGTCTGTGCTTAGTGATTTCTGATGGCATGACTAATGCATTCAACAGCCAGTAGGATCTTTGATGGCTGACTAAATACTTATTGTTGCTTATTTTAGATTGTTTGTTACTAATATAATTTTAAATAAAGATTTCAAAATAAAAAAGGGACATACCACGTGACAGACATGCCACGTGACATATCACGTTTTGTAGCCATTTATTTACTATTTAATTAGTATTTTTAATGTTGAAAGTGTTCTTGGGTGTTTTGAAAGGCGTTGTCAAATAAAATACGTTATTATTATTATAATTATTATGAAACGGTCGGTACAGGAAATAGTGTCACTAGCGCCCCCGTCAGTATCGGAATGAAATGGTCCCATTTCCATATAAGGTATGAGACTGACAGTGGTCCGTCCCCGCCCCTTTCTGTTTGCTGCAGCGAAGTGTACTTCCATGAGGCATTAAACCGTTTGGCCAAATTGCTTCAACGATCCCCACAGTTCATGAGGCTTCATGTGAACATGTCACCATCTACTGGTGGAGTGCAGAACTACAGTTTGTAATAAAAACTGTGATTTTTTTTTTTTCAACTGTTTTTCTTTTTTTTCCCCTTTTAAAGCTACAGTGTGTAATAATTACAGGGATATACAGTCAGAAATGTAATATATTATACATAACTATGTTATTTATCATCACCTACGAGCTCAGCCTCTTAACCTTAATATTTGCGTTGCCTTAGAATTCGTTATTTCTAATTACATAGGAGCGGGTCTCGCAGCCATGGAGGCTGACATCTTTGCGCTACGGCAGCGCAGAGCCAACAAACTAGCGATTGCGAGATCGCCCATTACGCTCGAAAGTAACTACGGCAAGTTGAGAGAGATGAACTGAGACGGTACTGAACAATAGATGGCAGTATTATGCCTGAGAATACTATCTGTAAAATTATCTATGTAAACAAACCTCATCACTTGAGAAGGTAGGTGATGCAGACGTCGTGGAAGACATTTTGTCCCGTAACGCTCGCCGTACTGTTGGGGGGGAGAAGCGATGGGGGGGAGATGTTCATGTTGCTGCGGTCTGCAGTCTGGACGTTAGATGTCGCTAAAAATTACACACTGTAGCTTTAAGTTCCCTTGAAATTATTAATGGTTGGTGTGTATAATAAAATATTTTGTAAGTTTTTTATGTGTAAAATTTCTTAGAACAATAATTTAAGGTGAACCGTTTTTCTGCCATTTTAGTGAAATAAACTCAAGCAGACAGTGACAGTGTTTGTGCAAATTGGGTAATGATGAGCAAAATGAAAGGTGTTAGTCATTTTTATTCAAACATGATAGTTTTTCCACGTTTTTGGGTTTTAATCAGGTTGGAAGTTGTGTTCAACCAATCTTTTGGCTGCACCGACCTAATTTACCCAATCTATATTTTTACTCGGGCAAAACAATGCATATTAGTCTCAACAGCCAAAAGAATTAAGTTTAAGCGAAATTTTCAAAAGTCAAAGACAGGTCTTGAACCATCAACCTCCAGAGTGGGAGCCTGACTCTTAGAGCTGACGCCACCTATGTAGATGCTCTCACTCAGGAGAAATTACTTCTTAACACTAACGTGTTAAGGCGGGCTTTGTCCGGTGGTTTGTCAAATTTTGATCATTACATTGTTTATTCCAACCAAATTAGCAACTAGATTGGTTGTTTTTCCAACCAATCTATTATTAGAATCTATCCAAACTTTATCCAGCTGACAGCAGCTCTCCTCCAAACTCCCACATCTTGACTAAACACTGAGGCTGTTTAGATGCCTTTCAAAATTCTTGCGCATTCTGAACCACTTCCCGAAGCGGTAACGTGGTATCACGGTAACGAGGCCTCGGACATCATCAATTTTGGCCCCTCCTCTAAATGAATCACGCCTCGACACGCGCTTCGGTGAAACGCCCCCTCCATTACTCGACACACGCCTCGAAGCCTCGGCTCATCTCATAACATCACTAATGATTAGTATGTATAATAAAATCTTTTGTAAGTTTTTTATTTAGTGTAAAATGTCTTAGAAGAGAACAATCATTTAAGGTACACGGTTTTATGCCATTTAATGAAATAAGCTCAACCAAACAATGATGATCAAAATGATAGGTGTGTCATTTTTATTCAAACATAATAGTTTTTCCACAGTTTTCGGTTTTAAATCGTTTGGAAGTTATGTGTCCAACCAATCTTTTGGCTAAACCAACCGATCTAATTTGGCAGTGTTTTCAGCCAATCCATATTTGTACCAGGGCAAACCAATACAAATTAATCATGTTAGCCAAAATACTTCTTAAGTATTATCGCTACTTTCAAAAGTCTAAGCTGGGTCTCAAACCAACAACCTCAGGAGTGGAAGTCAATGTCTTACAGCTGATGCCACTAGCAATGGTAACTGCTCTCTAGAGAGCAATACATACTACTTAACACTAATGTTGCAACTGTAACAGTGGCTTGCTCAGATTTTGATCATTACATCGTTCAACCAAAATGGTTTTAACCAACTAGATTGGTTGTTTTTCCAACCAAACTCTTATATATCCAAATTCTATCCAATGACTGAATAGAGAGGCTGTTTAAATGCCTGTCGAAGTTCTCGTGTGTTCCGAACCACTTCCTGAAGCAGTCATGTGGTATTACGGTAGAGAGGCTTTGAACGGCATGAAATTTGGCCCTGCCCCTAAATTACAGCACTCCCTTTTGGGGAAATGCCCCCTCCATTACTCGACACACACCTCGAAGCCTCGGCTCATCTCATAACATCACTACTGCAAAACCAGGACTCAAGTTTATTGGCCTTGGGTCATCTTAATTTTATTTTGAACTTTAAGAACCTTAGATTATTTTGGTAAGGTTTGTAGGTTTTTTTTGGATTGTATGTTGTATTTTAGATTCCTTTGGTTACCTTTACCCCATTTGTTCTGAAGCAAACTGAACGATAAAACATTGGACTTTTCAAATGAATTACATCTGGTTTTTAAATGTAATATCCCCCTTCCCTTTAGCTGAGCTGGGTTGAAAGCAGTACTCGAATTTAGTGGGGATGAGGGGGGATAGCATCCCCCTTTTTAAAATAAACTTAAAAATCATCCCCCTTCTTTAATGACCATCCCTTCATACCATTCCCTGTGACATTTTATTACTGAATGTGTAAAATTTCTACTAAATATTACCGGTAATGGCAATGAAATTACCCTTTCAACATTTGGTGGGCTGTGGCCTTACATGTAGCCTGAGCAAACTATGAAATTGTCCCTAACTATGTAGGGGCAGTGATAGCCATGCCAGTCCAGGGACTGACTGCAGTTCTACTGTAAGGAGCCTTGGTCAAGGTCAATGACCAGCGTACCGAACATGTAACAACCATACCATGCATATTGTTTTATGTTATTAGACTAAATTAATTAGGTTATGTATGCTTCCAAAAAAAAAAAAAATAATCCACCATCCCCCTTCTTTTTTTTTTTTACAAGTAGACTACTGGTTGTAACACTTACAAAAGAAAAGCTTAATCCACATATTTTGCATTTGCTCAACTGCTGATAATAAAATAAACTGTAATATGGACTTAGTTTTATGAAACAAAGAAATACTGCCAGATTGTTCAGTTTATAAATTAGTGTCATAAGCAACCATATTCCAAAATCATCAATATTCCCAAACAAATAGAGCTAAATGTTGTTTGTTTGTTTTTTCTAACATGTATAAGGGGTTAGGGGCTACTTACGGAAATTTTCAATTGACAGTCTTGTTTGTAGGTTCTCATAGTGTGGACTCAGACCCATATTATCTGTTTCTTCTGAAGCAGGATGACGGATTACATGCGCAAGAGCTCTGAGGAGAAAAAAATACTACTTTAAAAGATGTTAACATTCTAAAAACATACACAGAAATGATTATTGTGCTGCCAGGACAAAAAAATAAATAAATGACCAGATTTCTCTTTTGTTTCTCGTGTGTTTTTACACACAAGAGTTTAAGGTAAAATGAATGACCACCAAGCGCCATGGTCCATGGCTTAGAGCGAGTCCAAATCAAGCCTCTATCACCATATTCAGCATTGACTATGAGGTATTGGCTGATATGCAGAGCTGGGTTTTCCCCATTATTTTTCCAGAACTCACATTATTAATTTTGATCATGATTCAGCAAACCTAAATCATAATCTGAGTTTGAATTCAGCAGCTGAGTCCTCTGAAGGCATGATACTCCAGAATGTTATAGTGATCAGCGTAACAGCAATTAATTGCAAAGTCAATATTTGCCTACAAAATGAACTTTATCCCCCAAAACAAATTTTAACGTCACTGCAGCCCTGCCTTAAAAGAACCAGCTAACATTGTTTCAGTGATTGCTCCATTAACACAGGTGTGAGTGGTGATGAGGACAGGGCTGGAGATCAATCTGTCATGATTAAGTAAGAATGACACCACTGGACACTTTTAAAAGAGGCTGGTGCTTGGCATCATTGTTTCTTTTCTGTCAACCATGGTTATCTCTAAAGAAACACGTGCAGTCATCATTGCATTGCACAAAAATAACAGGAAGAGAATCGCAGCTAGAAAGATTGCACCTCAGTCAACAATCTATCGCATTATCAAGAACTTCAAGGAGAGAGGTTCCATTGTTTGCCAAAAAGGTGTTTCAGCTGCGGGATCGGGCTACCAGCAGTGCAGAGCTTACTCAGGAATGGCAGCAGGCAGGTGTGAGGGCATCTGCACGCACTGTGAGGCAGAGACTCTTGGAGCAAGGCCTGGTCTCAAGGAGGGTGGCAAAGAAGCTACTTCTCTCCAGGAAAAACATCAGGGACAGACTGGGATTCTGCAAAAGGTACAGGGAGTGGACTGTTGAGGACTTGGGTAAAGTCATTTTCTCTGATGAATCCCCTTTCCGATTGTTTGGGACATCTGGAAAACAGCTTGTTCAGAGAAGACTAGGTGAGCGCTACCACCAGTCTGGTCTCATGCCAACTGTAAAGCATCCTGAAACCATTCATGTGTGGGGTTGCTTCTCAGCCAAGGGAGTCGGCTCTCTCCCCTAAAAACACAGCCATGAATAAAGAATGGTACCAGAACGTCCTCCAGCAGCAACTTCTCCCAACCGCCCAAAAGCGGTTTGGTGATGAACAATGCCTTTCCAGCATGATGGAGCACCTTGCCATAAAGCAAAGGTGATATCTAACTGGCTGAGGAAACAAAACATAGAGAGTTTGGGTCCATGGCCTCGAAACTCCCCTGATCTTAATGCTATTGAAAACTTGTGGTCAATCATCAAGATACGGGTGAACAAACAAAAACCTAGGAATTCATAAAAAATGCAAGCATTGATTGTGCAAGAATGGACTGCTATCAGTCATAATTTGGTGCAGAAGTTGATTGAGAGCATGCCAGGGAGAATTGCAGAGGTTCTGAAGAAGAGGGGTTAAACACTGCGAATATTGACTTGCTGCATTAACTCATTCTAACTGTCATTAAAAGCTTTTGTTACTCATAATATGATTGCAATTGTATTTCTGTATGTGATGACAACATTTGACATTCACACATGAAAACCAGAGAGCAGCAGATCATGCGAAAATATAATATTTGTGTCATTCTCAATACTTTTGGCCATGACTGTAGGTTTGGCTGACATTTAGAATAGAACATTTGAAATTTAAGCACAAATTCTAATATCTATATATTTCTAATAAAAAAATATTAGTACCCAGAACAGTAGTGAGAAATTCGGGCATCCATTCTTTACCTGCTTTGTGTGTCAACTGTAAAAGTTTCTTGGCGACAGAGTGTACGGGCGGTGAAAAGGCTAAATCTGTTTGAATCCATAGCCAACACTCTTCATGGCCTCCTTATTTTCATAGACCTCGAAGGATCCCCAAGTCCTCAATCCCCCCATCCGCCGGGATTCCCAGACCAGCCCTGGAGCTGATGGCTCGGTTCGAGTGTTTCAACTACATGCTGCACTGTAGTCGACCAAAATTCATACAATTTTGAATTTCCCCCGGGACATTTTTAGGTATGAAAAGTAGAACATGTCCGGGAAAGAGAGGAATCCAGGTCACTCTACCATACATACCTACAATTTTGATGTTTCTGTGAGTGATTGCTTGTTGCTATGATGCGTCTTTGCTCAGCAGCTTCACTCTTTGTAAACCAACCAATCAGTTCACAGCTCATCTAGATATTCATGAGCATACCTTTGAATACATTTGAAAGAATTAAAAAAATGTATGCCTCTACCTCTATGATGGGAATGTTTCCTATATGTCCTAACTAGTGGTGGCAACTATAAACATGCTATGCTTATAGTTTAAAGTTAACTAAATTCAACAACAGCAAAAACATGAAAGCAACACTTGTCTTTATTATCAATACCTTGCAATATTAGCATTGTATCCAGATACACTGTTTGAGTTTCAATACTTTTCAGAGTATCAACAGTTTTGAGAAAAATGTTACAAACCTTTTTACAGAACATGATAGGGTTGTCAAAAGTATTGATACTCAAAAAAGTATCGATACTGAAACGTTGTATCCGGATACAATACTCATTTTCAAAAGTATCGATACAGCCATCTAAAGTGCAGAATAGTGGAAAATGCACTTTCTGAACACTGAGTGATTGAATAATTCTGTGCATTTTTCAGTTTCAGACTTTTTTAGTAACAGGTGCAGCTGCTGAGAATTATTTTTATCAAGCTTGCTTAATATTGTGCACAGCATACAACCTCAAAATATTATTCTTATTGCTTTTTTATTTATTTCTTGTATATTTTTAGTAATGAAAATATTTCTGTTGAATTTTAGAGTCTTGGTTTTTATTCTTGTGGTTTTGAAAAGGGTATCGAGTATCGAATATTTTACTTAGTATCGGTATCGAGTTGAAAAGTTTAGTATCGTGACAACCCTAGAACATGAATACATGTTGTTGTCATGTGCCACAAACAAGATCCTTTTAAAAAATATTGTTAGAATACAAACAATTTCAGAAATGCCCCTCTTTTTTATTTCTTTTAAAGGGAAACGCTGTTTTTTTACATTACATTATTTTACATCATGTTCTACTTACCCATATAAGTTTTGTGTCATTTGGAGCCGATCTGAAGATATTCCGTTAGGTTACATCCAAGTAATGTCTTCCTATGGGCAGTCGACTTGAAGGCACAAACTGAACTGTTCATAATTTATTCTTTATGGTACGCCAGCATTAATATCATGTAGACGAATCACTGTCCCCCAGCCATCTGCGTTTATATTTCTTTATATTTATATGTTTTAAAAACAAAGCGTCGCGTGAGAACATGATGTAATAACATAAAATCAAGGGCCCAATGTAAAAAAACTTGCCATTACCCTTTAAGTTGGGATTGCAAAAAATACCTGCCTGTTGAATGAACACCAGTAAAAAGAGAGAGAATAATTGTAGCAATTCTACATCTATGCATCAAGGATCAATTTTTATATTCATATTTATTCAAGATTTAAAGATAGCTATAAATTCAAAAGTTGTTTTTTTAACACACTGTAGTCCAATCAAAAACCTGTTGCTTATTAGTTTAAATAATATTTTCTTTCACAAAATAAATTGTTGTGGTGCTACAGAAAAATCTGTTTAAAATAGCATTATGTGTGGTGGTTCTGTTTCTTTACTACAACACTTTTTCCTTCCACTTAACTTCCCGTTAGAGGGACTCTGAAATGTCAGCTTCCTTAGTAATGGCCTATGGAGGCGCGCCTACTGTGAGCGCCTTTTATTATCAAATCAGCTGCCTTTCCAATTACTCTGTATACCAAAAATAAAAAATTTAAAAAAAATAGCCATAATATTTCTGCATAATATGATATGGAGTTGTGTTTTATATTATTATATAATCTGATAAAAACACTTCAAATCTGAGTGACTTACCTCGACATATCATCTCTGTTTGGACGGTGCGTCTTCTCCAAACCAAGCTTTGTGAAAATCCCTATAAGTGCCATGATGGCAACGACCCCGCAGATGACATAGACAATAAGGTTGGTTTTATCCTTGGCAGACTCCAGTGCCACGTCCACTTTTGGTGGGGGTCTGCCGGTCATCATCCATGGCGGGGTGTCGTAGTTCTTACAGGTGGTCTGGTCCAGCCGGGAGCTTTTGAACGCGCAACAGAACCTGAAGCCACAGGTGCCGCAGCAGTACAGGTAGCTCCCCGTCCTGCACACGAACGGCGGGTCCCACTGACCCATCACGTCATAGTAGCCACGGCATTTGTCCTCCGTGTGCGGGCTTTCCGTGACTGTTCTCTCCCCGTCTGACTCGTTAAACCCTGTTACTATCATGAACTCATCCTCGGGTTGATCCAGCTCGCTCTCTGCGTCGCACACCAGAACTTTAACCAGAAAGTAACCGAGCAGCAACTCAGTGCCTCGCATTGTTGTTCTCTTTTTAAGCCCCTCTTCAAGCCCTTAAAAGCTCTCGTATGCGCGGTTGCATCTTGAATAGCAGTCCTGCGTAAATGTCATCAGATAGATTCCAACCTCCGTGCGTAAAAGTGCATTGCCAGTGTTCTCACCTTGAATCGACGAATTGGAAATCTGATTTTAGGAGGAAATTAAGGCATCCAGGGGGCAGCAGCCTAAATCAAGTAGCTATGAAGCAGCTGCTCTGCTCATAGGTATGCTTAAGGGTATCAAATACCTGTGAGGCTGCCTCACTCCACCGAGCGCGTTAAAAACAGACCCAGAGAAGGTGAGAAAGACAAAGCAGACACCGTGATAGAAATTGGGGGAGAGAGGAACAGAGGTAGTGGGACAGAGAGAGAGGAAGAGAATCAGGGCTGAGCACTAGCTCTAATTACAACCTCTTTACAGCCTTGTTATTATTCTGCTGTGTGGCAAAAGTCCACTGTGAGGATACAATCTGAAGTCCAAATTTACCCAAGACCAACCCAACATCTTTGGCTTCTGTTGGGTGTGTTATATTTCCTGTTACTGAAAATGACGTTGGGAAAACGAGCTGGTAAAAGTGAGTACAAGTCTAATATAAACAAAATCAGGTTGTAGCATAATGTATCATAGCTTACATTCTTACATAGTGTGACAAAAGGTCTATATATACAATTATAGACATGTGTATATATGAAAGTGAAAGCCCTTTGGGAAACTCCTCCAACTCCCATTGTCATTGTGACACAGCACACACAAGTGAACACTGCACACCATGAAATTGCATTTATGCCTCACCCGTGCAAGGGGGCAGCCCTCAATGGCTGCCCCAAGGGAGCAGTGTGGCGGGACGGTACCATGCTCAGGGTACCTCAGTCATGGAGGAGGATGGGGGAGAGCGCTGGTTAATTACTCCCCCCACCAACCTGGCGGGTCAGGAGTCAAACCGGTAACCTTTGGGATCCAAGTCTGACACCCTAACCCCTCACCCCACGACTGCCCATATATATATATGACATAAAAATATTTCTTATATTCTGGGTTCTTTAAAACAGTCACCTTTTGCTTTGATTACTGCTTTCCACACTCTTGGCATCCTCTTGATGAGCTTCAAGAGGTAGTCACCTGAAATGGTTTTCCAACAGTCTTGAAGGAGTTCCCAGAGATGCTTAGCACTTGTTGGCCCTTTTGCCTTCACTCTAACAGTCTATTCAGTAGGGCTATCAGCTGTGTATCTACCTGACTTCTGCACAAAACAACTGATGGTCCCAACCCCATTTATAAGGCAAGAAAACCCACTAATTAAACCTGACAGGGGACACCTGTGAAGTGAAAACCATGTCAGGTGACTACCTCTTGAAGCTCATCAATACAATGCCAACAGTGTGCGTAGTAGTAATCAAAGCAAAAGGTGGCTACTTTGAAGAACCTAGAATACAAGCCATATTTTCAGTTGTGTCACCCATTTTTGTTAAGTTTACATGTCCACATGTGGTAATTCATGGCTTTGATGCCTTCAATGTGAATCTACAATTTTCATTGTCATAAAATTAAAGAAAACACTTTGAATGAGAAGGTGTGCCCAAACTTCAGGTCTGTACGGTATGTATATATATATATATATATATATATATATATATATATATATATATATATATATATATATATATATATATATATATGTATATGTAAATGCAGTTTCAACAGTTGTGTTTCCATCTGTATTTGCCAAATTTTTGATTATATATATACATATATATATATATATATATATATATATATATATATATTAGTGCTGTCAATCAATTAAATTTTTTTAATCGCGATTAATCGCATCAATGCCTGAGTTAACTCGCGATTAATCGCATTTTAATCGCAAATTTTTTTTATGATTGAAAATCATTTAAATACTCTCGATGACATACAAAAAATACATACAGGCTAGGTTTGTGCCAATGTTCTTTTTTTTAAATGAAAACAGGTCACAGACACTGATTTATGCCATAGAAACATATGGCAAGAAGATGGGGAGGCATGTAGCAAAAAATAACAAATATGTAGCCAAAAAAAAGGCCCTGAAAACAGGCTGATGTAAAAGACAGTCTTTACAGTTAATACAGTCTTTTGAACAAAGACAAGCATTTTACCCTACTGCTATAAAATGTAGTAGAGTTAACATTAGATGTTAATTAACCAAGATAATAATGAACAATTTTCAATCAATACATCAAAATCAATAGACCGACATCACTAGATGGAGGTAGTCTATGCTCTAGAAAGTTACTTTTCAGCCTCTTAACAAAAATGAGAACACACACACACCCACACACCCACACACAGACACACCCACACACACACACACACACACACACACACACGATACCGACCTGTGGCGTACACAGACAGCAAGATTCCATTTCACCTCAGTAATCTGTTTTCTCAGCGTATTTCAGGTTGCTACTAGTTACCAGACTCTCAACTTGTTTGTTGGTGGTGGGGCTTAAAGAAAAGGCACTAGCGCTACCCAGTTTATGAGCATCTTTTTTCCTTGAGGAGCTCCGCTCTCGAAGCCTATGAGAAATGCATACACTGGGGGAAAAAAGCCCCGCCTTCCCGCAGGCTGCAGCGGGATGTACTTGGAAAATTGTACCATAAAACCATATAGCGTTAATCTCACGTTAAAAAAATTATCGCCGTTAAAATGGCCTTGCGTTAAAGCGATAATAACGCAATAATTTTGACAGCACTAATATATATATATATATATATATATATATATATATATATATATATACAGGTGCTGGTCATAAAATTAGAATATCATGAAAAAGTAGATTGATTTCAGTAATTCCATTTAAAAAGTGAAACTTGTATATTATATTCATACATTACATAAAAACTCATATATTTCAGATGTTTATTTTGTTTAATTTTGATGATTACAAATGACAACAAATGAAAATCTCAAATTCATCATATCAGAAAATTAGAATATTACTGAAGACCAATAAAAACAAAGGATTTATAGAAATGTTGGCCAACTGAAAAGTATGAACATGAAAAGTATGAGCATGTACAGCACTCAGTATTTAGTTGGGCCTCCTTTGGCCTGTATTACTGCAGCAATGCGGCGTGGCATGGAGTCAATCAGTCTGTGGCACTGCTCAGGTGTTATGATAGCCCAGGTTGCTCTAATAGTGGCTTTTAGCTCTTCTGAATTGTTGGGTCTGGTGTATTGCATCTTCTTCTTCACAATACCCCATAGATTTTCTATGGGGTTAAGGTCAGGAGAGTTTGCTGGCCAATTAAGAACAGGGATACCATGGTCCTTCAACCAGGTACTGGTAGCTTTGGCACTGTGTGCAGGTGCCAAGTCCTGTTGGAAAATGAAATCTGCATCTCCAAAAAGTTGGTCAGCTGCAGGAAGCATGAAGTGCTCTAAAACTTCCTGGTATGTGGCTGCGTTGACCCTGGACCTCAGAAAACACAATGGACCAACACCAGCAGATGACATGGCACCCCAAACCATCACTGACTGTGGAAACTTTACACTGGACTTCAAGCAACGTGGATGAAGTGCCTCTCTTCTTTTCCTCCAGACTCTGGGACCTTGATTTCCAAAGGAAATGCAAAATTTACTTTCATCAGAGAACATGACTTTGGACCACTCACCAGCAGTCCAGTCCTGTTTCTCTTTAGCCCAGGCAAGACGCTTCTGACGCTGTCTGTGGTTCAAGAGTGGCTTGACACAAGGAATGCGACAGCAGAAACCCATGTCTTTCATACGTCTGTGTGTGGTGGTTCTTGAAGCACTCACTCCAGCTGCAGTCCACTCTTTGTGAATCTCCCCCACATTTTTGAAGGGGTTTTGTTTCACAATCCTCTCCAGGGTGCGGTTATCTCTCTTGCTTGTACACTTTTTTCGACCACATCTTTTCCTTCCCTTCGCCTCTCTATTAATGTGCTTGGACACTGAGCTCTGTGAACAGCCAGCCTCTTTAGCGATGACCTTTTGTGTCTTGCCCTCCTTGTGCAAGGTGTCGATGGTCGTCTTTTGGACAACTGTCAAGTCAGCAGTCTTCCCCATGATTGTGTAGCCTATAGAACTAGACTGAAAGACCATTTAAAGGCTTTTGCAGGTGGTTTGAGTTAATTAGCTGATTAGAGTGTGGCACCAGGGGCCATCAATTTTGAACCTTTTCACAATATTCTAATTTTCTGATATGATGAATTTGAGATTTTCATTTGTTGTCATTTGTAATCATCAAAATTAAACAAAATAAACATCTGAAATATATGAGTTTGTATGTAATGTATGAATATAATATACAAGTTTCACTTTTTAAATGGAATTACTGAAATCAATCTACTTTTTCATGATATTCTAATTTTATGACCAGCACCTGTATATATATATATATATATATATATATATATATATATATATATATATATATATATATATAAAAACCTAGCCTGTATGTATTTTTTGTATGTCATCGAGAGTATTTAAATGATTTTCAATCAGAAAAAAAATGTGTGATTAAAATGCGATTAATCGCGAGTTAACTTAGGCATTGATGCGATTAATCACGATTAAAAAAATGTAATCGATTGACAGCACTAATATATATATATATATATATATATATATATATATATATATATATATATATATATATATATATATATATAATAAAAAATTTGGCAAATACAGATGGAAACACAACTGTCATTGGCTGTTTGTTTAAGGGCAGAATTGACACCAGCATCTCATTTAATGACTTTGAGTTTAATTGAAGGTTGAATGTACGTAAGATGGCAGAATATAAACTATTTGATTTTCTTATTAAATAAACCTTTTTTTTTATATTAACTCCACAGGACACACCTTTGTTATCATTTACTAATTGGCTAAAGAAAGAAGCAGATGAAGTAGCTTTTTCAATGATGGATGTGCTGAAAAAGAAGTAAACTATTTTTAGGGAAACCGTTTCATCTAAAATTACAATTCTCAGAGGCCACAAGAGCAATCTCACTCTTTCCCTGTTTGATAGAGATTTATCTTTAGTATATGAGGCTACATTTATTTACAAACTGCTGTCAGGAAAGCTGTTACTTGTTTTTTTTTTTCATTATCTTTAAAGTTTCCTATAAATACTTTCCACAGCCCCAACAAGAATGGAACATCTTAGGATTTCTGTCAAAACA